ATAGTCCATCATTGGAGGAAGTCAGGATGGGAACTCAAAGCAGGGCAGGAACCTGAAGGCAGGAGCTGATGTGAGGTAATGGAGGGGTGCTGTGTACTGGCTTGCTTTCCATGGCTTGTTCAGTCTGCTTTCTCTTCAAACCCATGACCACTAGCTCAGGGATAACACCACCCACCATGGGCTGGTCCCTCCCGCATTGATCATTAATTGAGAAAATGCCTGACAGCTGGATCTGTAAGGCTGGATTAATGTAAGGCTGGATCATTTCCTCAGCTGAGGCTCCTTTTTCTCTGATGACTCTAACTTGTGTCAAGTTGGCACAAAACCAGCCAGCACACTTGCTGTGTAGCTGAGGATAAATGTGAAGGACTAATTTTCCTGCCTCTACTTCCCAATGCTGGAGCACCTATAATTCTATGCATATATGTATTCATGTATATATGTATGTATGCATATATATATATATATATATATACACACACACACACACACACATATACATTACTTTCTATCAAGTGTATTAGTCGCTTTGTTGTTAGCAAATGTGATGACAAGTGACTTAAGGATTTACTGTGGCTCACTGAGGGCATACAGTTTATCATAGCAGGGGAGCCATGATGACGACGGACATCTGAGGCAGCTGGTCACATTTCATCTATTGTTAGGAAGCAGTGAGACTGCTGATGCTCAGTTTTGTATTCAGTCCATGCTTCCAGACTGTGGCACGATGGGCTGCATTCATGGTATTCCTCCCTCTTCAGTTAAGTGTCTCTGGAAGTGCCCCCATGGACACACTTGGAGGCTTGTGTCTTGGGCATGTGAGGATTTAATTAAGTTAACTGTATGAAGATTAACTAATATGTTCAAGTTCTACTTTATGCTCAGAAGCTATTCTTGAGTAAAACTCAGTTCTCCTGTCTTAGAAGTCCCTCCAAAGCAGCGCTGAATGACTGGAAGGAAAGAGAGAGGCCTCCCTCCTTCCTTCTTTCCTCACTCTGAGCCCTATGTAAAATGGCCAGATAGGTTATCGTCTTGGTTGTTCCTGTTGTCAGGTATTCACCAGAGGAGACTGATACAAGTTTAAGCCTATAGAAAGTCTTTATTAGCTGGGTGGTGACTGCACTGGGTGTTAGGGATCCTAGTGGAGCATGGAGCCTTATGTGAGCAGCTAATTGAACCTTTTAAAATTCTGTCTATAGTTTATGACTTTATGTTAGTGGCTAAACAATAACACAATCCTGTAGGCTCTTAGAATCATTTCTAGTTTGAGTCTGGTAATTGACCATGACTAAACGCAGTAGGTTCCAGGAACATGACTGTTTAGCTTTGAGTAGGGAAGCCTTGGCACCTGATGTAAGAGATCAGATTTGCTACAGAACAGCTGATGTCTGGAGTCAAGGGTGAAATGAGAGAACGGGACAGGAGCTTAGAGGCCGATACAAGGATGTAGATCATTCTGTTTGGATCTGAATGACCTCTGAAAACCAGTTACGTACAGGAAATAACCACAGGGTTTTGTTACTTTACGAGCAGAGGGAATTAGAGTTTAATAAGGGTTACACTGTCTGTGGGGATGAATGACCACAGGTTTGAATGGACAATGACAGGGAAGGAGGGAATAATGAGGAGTTAGCCTGACCAGTGCCACGTTCCTGCTGTCTCTGTGTGACTGCGAACACACCTGGGCTCTTCTTAGGTGCCTGCTGCTCTCCCTTGCTCTTTAAAGGTCATCTGTAGACTTGGTAGTTGTTTGACTGAAGTGGGATGCTCAAGAACCACAAGTTGAGATACCATCCAGTGAGAGGGAAGAGAAGGAAAAGCAACGACCATGAAATAGGTTGTTTCATGCCATGCAGTACCCATGGAGAGCAGATGGTGTCAAGTCCTCTGGTACTGGAGTTACAGATGATTGTAACCCAGCACGTGGGTTCTGGGAATCAAACCTAGGTTCTCTGAAGTGAGCCTCCAGATCTCTCTCTCTCTCTCTCTCTCTCTCTCTCTCTCTCTCTCTCTCTCTACCTCTACCTCTCCTCTCCTCTCCTCCTCTTTCCTTTTCTTGTTGAGATAAAGTCTCATACCGGTACAGCCAGTATGCTAGTACTTGTGAGCAAGCAAGTTCCCTTCTTTCATCTGTCTGTGTCTTTGGCCTCAGTAACACCCGTTTTTTTTTTTTTCTCTACTTTTCTGTACTTCTCTGGTGTTCCTGCTTCTAGTCTTATTTTCTTTCTTTCTTTCTTTCTTTCTTTCTTTCTTTCTTTCTTTCTTTCTTTCT